GGATTTCTTAGAGGCCCACATCTCCCAGCACTGGAGTGAAGTTGCCTTTCCTGAGATCACTTTCAGATAACTCAAAATTATGAAGGCAAAAGATCTATCTTGTTAGCATTTGTGGATGATATTTGTTACAGATGTTGAGAATCAAGAAAGAGTGCAGAGAAGAGCAAGACTGGAGGCTAAAACATATAAGGAACGGTTGGTGGAATTGGGTATGTCTAGTTTAACAAAAAGAAGGACGAGGGGTGACATGATAGCAGCGTTCCAATATCTCAGGGGCTGCCCCAAAGAACAGGGGGTCCAAAGCACCTGAAGGCAGGACAAGAAGCAATGGATGGAAACTAATCAAGGAGAGAAGCAACCTAGAATTGAGGAAAAGTTTCCTGACAGTGAGCACAATTAACCAGTGGAACAACCTGCCTACAGAAGCGGTGAATGCTCCAACACTGGAAGTTTTTAAGAAGAGACTGGACAAAAATTTGTCTGAAATTGTATAGGGTTTCCTGCCTGAGCAGGGGGTTGGACTAAAAGATCTCTAAGGTCCCTTCCATCTATTCTATTCTATCTAATTCTAATTCTAATTCTAATTCTAATCTCTGTTGTTGCTATGAAAATTATATATGGATGTACAGGTAGTCTTAGGACTGTTAGGGTTAGCGACTGTGCAGTGATTCGCTTAACAACTGGGGTAAGAAAGGTCGTTAAATGGGGCAAACTCACTTAGCAAATGTCTCACAGCAACAAAAATTTTGGGCTCAATTTGCTCAATTTTCTGCACCCACACACAAAAAATTCACATTCCTAATGCTTCTCGGTGGGACTGCCATTGTCAACGCTGCTAACATCAGATGTTTTTGCTTTGACAAGAGATGCAGATGTAACCATTTCCTTCTTATGTTTTACTCTTAGAGTTAGATGATGCTGGGGGGGGGGAGAATATGCATGAGAGTTTAGCTAGACATAATAATACTGAACCTAGTGTATGAACCAAGGTTATTGAAATAAAAGATGATAAGAATTGTCCAGGCTGGAGAACTGGAAGGAGAGCCTGCATTTGAAACTAATTGTAGAATGTGATTTATGACTGTTAATTGGAGGAGGGAATTGTGCTTTGATACTATGTGCTCAGGGGAGGGGAATCCAGTTTCTGGTTTCGACTGTGTTAGTGCCGATGCTATGCTTCTCAAATAAGGATTCTTTAGGGTAAACAACACCTCCAAGTTCTTTGAAGAGTTTCATGTGTCGGAACCATGACAGCCATATTTTCATTTTAGACTCGAGCTCATTGGAGCTCTGCAAGAGGGAAAAGGCCAGGGCATCAGCCACCAGCTTATTGTGGACCAATCGGTTCGATTCATGAGGAAGGCCGGAAGATCCATAAGAAAACGGAGCTTTCTCCTTCGTCTCCTTTCTTGCAAGATAGCACCCATGTCTCTACCACTCCTCACTTGTCTCTCCCACCCCTCACTTACCTCCACTTTGGTTATAGCGTCTCTGGAGCATTTGCACGTCTTCCTGAAAGTCTTTCTGGTCTTTTTGCAAAATCAAGGTGTACTTGTTAAAGAATCTGGAATCTTCCTTCTCCAGTGTATTTATCCAATCTACTCGAGGATGCATCTTCCTGGTGTGGCTTTCGTAGCGAACGATGAGCTGATCGTCCATATAACCTTCGGCTGTGAAGGGTGACAGCCCTGGACAAGCCTCCGTTGCAGAAGAGTAGCTCACACGGATTACGCGAGGGGAGGAGCCTAAGGAGAAACGACAGCAGGGCGGAGTTAGGAGGGACTGAGGGTTAGGAGGGTTACAGACTGAAGTTCCAGAGGAGTTGCAGCATGAGGTGCAATATGGGACTGTCAGCCTGCCATGAAGTATGGAGGGAGGAAGGGGAAAGTGAAACAGTTGAAGGTGGTGGGGTGCCACTCAAGAGTCTTCAAAGTCGTTACCCTGGGAGAATAATGC